TCCCCAGGAAATTTGGAAACCCCCCCCAGATAGGTCTCTGGATCCGCCACTGGGATTCGTACCCTCAACCAAACGGTGTTAGTTGTAATGGCATTTACTTGTACCCTGTTGTATGCCTAGTTGTAAATATCTATCAACATCTTGTGTAGTATTCATTTCAGTTTGCTGTCTCTTTCATTCAGTGTCACTGTGACCAAACAAACATTGGTAACTGTATTGCTCTACTGATCTTTGCTGTACATCAATCTACATTCAAGATTGGAAGATTATCGCTGTCAATTTGTAAAACAAAAAGTGTTTTCGAATAAAAACAAATCGGGATAGCGACCAGTGTGTAATTTTAGCGTAACAAATCTTCATATAAAGGTATATAAGGATAGGTTTGTACGAAGGTCATAAGACAACTAGGAAGTACGTATGCTACCACTTAAAACCTCCATTACGTGAGGAGCCGATGGGACCTTCGGATATTAACACTTATGAATCACCGAGTCGTGGTGTTGATGAGGTAACAATTGTATACCCATCCCTGTTCACAGCAAGGGCTTCGTGTATTTATCTTAAGGGTTCATTATACACTTATCATATTTGTGCTACAGTGATCTCCCTTTAGAAAATATTCAATTTTACACATTATGCATGTTACAGTATATGTTTAAGAATTGTATATATATGCTACTATTACACATTATACCTGTCATTTGTGGTAGAGTTAGGGATACAAATTGTATGCTACCTCACCTATTCTATCTAACCGTTGTGTTAGAATAAAGGATATATGCTAACTTACTCATCGCACCGGTCATTTGTGTATGAGTTGTCGCCCTTTTTGACATAATCTGCATGACATATACGATTTGTGTTAGAGTCAAGAATAATTGCTTCAGCGAACGATTTATGCTACTTACACAATATAAAATAAACAATTAGAGACTAAATGTCATGAGGTCTATCCATGGTTTATGAACCTATCCTGAGCAATACTGATTAAGGCCGAAGAATAGGTAACAGGAATATGTAATAATGTTATTTGTGTTAGAGTTCAAGGCGCGTGTTAACGTATACATTATTCCCGTAATTTGTGTTAGAATTTCTTCCTTTAAGGATGCATGCTACCTTGAACATGGTATCTTTTATTTGCGTTAGAGTTAGATATATTTTTTTTTTATTTCAATGTATATTACATTTCAGATTGATTGGGTTTGTCAATATATGTATTTTTGTGTACTCCTCGAATCTGTGATTAATTATGTATTTGTCAAAAAAAACCACCAAATAAGTGGAACTCTTTTGGCAAAGATATGGGTAATCGTTGCTAGTGTGTGCGAGGGGGGGGGGGGGGGGGGGGGCGTAACCCAGACCGGCGGTTCTTTTTAGAAATTTTGACAACATTTTAAAATCGGTGTATTGATAGGTGCGGGTTTAAATCTCGCGTGTTTAGAAATTCATTTGATTTAGCTATATTTTACAGCTTTTAAAATACAGCAACAGGATGACAAAATCATTTATAGCCAGATGACTTGTTGTTGACCAATTCACAGAGAGTTAAAATTACTAGATAACTATTATAAATACCTCGTGATACCCCTGAAAAAATGACGGTAGATGGCATAGCAAAAATGGACATATATATATAATGGTTAGAGGCTATTAAAAACAGGAGTAATTGGCACTGACTGACTGATTTAAAACAATGCAATTACACACATGTAAAGAATAATCGATCTAGTTATTACGTAATGAGACAGAGAGCGTGTCATACTTAATCTTTCCCACAGAGATCACAAGACAGGCCAGGACATAAGGCAATGGATCAACTTCCATCCAATTAATCTGTTTGCTTGTGGTTGATTTGATATTTAGTTTGTTTGCATACTTGATTACAAGTTGTTTAATATTTAATATTCCTCTTGACATTTCCGAACCTCCCTCCTACTGCCTCCACCACATACAGGTACATTTCACACAATGTATTTTTCTCACGTAAAGAGCTAGACTACCAGGTGCGGACATAATTTCGGATATAAACTTCATGTGCCTTTCACATTCTACATGTAGTTTAATCTTCGTTAAGATTTTATGTGCATACACATGTAACTACACTGGATTATCCTGCACGTACATAAGAGGCGACTAATGTGGGACTCCCTAGAGAATCGAGGAATGAAGACTTCGCTACTTTAAAATGCCCAAATGATTTGTGTTACACTCTTCGAACTTGAATGTTTTGGAATGGAACGTATGTCACAGTAAGTAACGTGTATCTTTTGAGACATACTAGTTTTTTTTAAATAGGAAGCACAAAAAAAATCAACGCTTCGGAGATCCTGTGTTCTAGAGCTACCGACCGTATCCCGGGTTTGACATTTCACTGAATAGACTGTTTCTATAGCTAAAACGTAATAACGACCTAAAATAGTTCTGACATGAGCAAGGCTACCGCTATAGTAATACAGTAGATTGGATTGGGGTCGATGATGGCGAGGGGCATCCTCGATATCCAGGGGTTACGCTCACTTTCGCTCTCTGCACCCCTGGAATACATTTTTATGTCATACCAAAATTGATGGCACGAAGATAGCTGTTTGATTGGTCTCAGGTAAAAAAAAAATATGACTAATCGCTAGGCTGATACTTGTCCTTTGAAGATTACAAACGAGAGACGCCCGACTTCAAAGCCTGTCAATTGTTACCGTTACGTGACCGCGAGATTCTTTTGATGTACATCAAAGGATCGGACTAGTCTTCTTGTCTCATCAACAAGGCGGCTCACACCGATCCTTCAATTTTGCTATGAAATATTCCAGGGGTGCAGATAGCGAAAGTGAGCGTAACACCTGGATATCGAGGATGGGCGAGGGGCTAATTCAAGCAGCCGTGTGCGGTAATAATAAGCAACACACGTATTGCATGCAACATTTACAGATTGCTGTTTAGATAGAGATACAATATAACTTCGAAATCGCCTGCATGGTCTCACAATTGATAAGATCTTAAAATCTAAGCTACAGAGTGCAGATGAAGCACAGTGTATTTTTGTGTTTATGCGTTTTTCTACAGTTTTACGTAGATCATTGAAAGTTCATTTTAAATTGATTTTCAAAAAATAACGCAAACCCCTCGAGATTACCATAAATATATCCGGTCATTATTATTATAGCGATACAACTCGATTCCAGGCGATAATCCTGAGTGACTTCGCAAATACACTTGTTTATTGTGCGGACGTACAAATCGTGCACCGGTCTCACTCGTTGATGTATTCGTGCGCACAAAATATCGTGCTAGCTGCGGCGTCATTAATAAATTGCTTAGTCTACAACATGTACATATATTTACGTACTGATCTTTACAGCCCAATCATACGCCATTACCTTACTGTTTCTGTCATTATTATGAAGTCATACTTGTTACATTGGATACCACTGACCCATCCTGGACAGATGGCTGATCCAATCATTGAACGACCTTAAATACAATAAAAACACATTCCAGAAATGGTAGATATATATAATTACTGAACTGCTTTCAGTTGTCATTTATAGGCAATATGAATGCCAAATGAACAAAGGCAATTTCAACATACAGCGCGTCACCAATGCTTAAAAAGTTGTTAAATTTTACGTTTGAAGCTATTTATAATAATGTACAGGAAAAGATATAGCAACATGCCCCTGTTCATACATGTACATGTAGCTATGAGCGGCTATGACTTAACGGCTAAGTTTACTCGCCGTTACGAGTTTATATCATTATTTCAAATATAGCACTAACCGACTTTTGTAAACACCGAAACTATAATATGTGTCAGTAGTCACTAACTGGCTTCCGTAGTATATCATAATGTGTATTTCACTCTTCTAAACCCAAATGTTTACGACGTAGCCTAACCCCTGTTGTGACATGCCGGATACGATGAAATGTGCTGCGGAATAAATTTAATACATCAAATTACAAAGACCAATGGACAGCCAGCGACACTTACGTATTGACCAATGGTATGTAAATTAGGATACAGAACGATTCAGATACACTTTTATATTATCCGAGTGAAAGTGTTTATTGTTTACAGATTATTTTTCTCTGAAACGGATGCATTTAAAATTGTAGCTTTCAGGTTTGGACTCTTTTATTACAAATCGACTGGAGAACTTCTGGGTTCACTAGGAAATCTAGCAAGCTTCCATAATCCGGATTGCTCAATTAGAGTTAGTACCTTTTAGTCCGTGAATGAACGTTGAAAGTGGTATAAAGGACTGGTTTCATAACAGAGGCATACAGCATGCTAGCGGACGTTACTGGTGAAATGGAAACGGACGTTACGGATGGCATGTTACCGGATGTTACCACAGGAATGGTACCGGATGTTACCACAGAAATAGTGGCATATGTAACGACACACATTATGAACAATGTAACATTCACGCCAGGATTGACACTTCAACAACAGAATGACGAGGAGTTTTACCGCCGACTGGCACCAGTCATATACCTCGCAGTTCTTATGGTAGTCGGTATCCCTGGCAACCTTCTCGTTCTCGTTGTGTACTTCCGGGACTTCACGCGGTCTACCCACAGAACATTCATCCTTAGTTTGGCCGCGTTGGACCTGAGTGTCTGTCTGGTGTCTCTGCCGTTTGAGATTTTTGAAATGAGATTCCAATACACTTTTTACAATGTGATTGCATGTAAATTGTTTAGAGCTAACAACAACTTTCTGTCTCTTGGCTCGATTTTTACAATATTTTGTATGTCAATTGATAGATACAGACGAGTGTGTCGACCGTTACGCATACAGATGACTCCGAGCGTGAGTCTGCTCTACTGTTTTGGGGCTTTGGTCGTATCCCTGATATTTGCGTGGCCAAACTTCGTCATTAGTGGAATCAGAAATGTTTCATTCAAGCATAATGTCACTGGTTCAGATTGTTCCCTCTCAGATCAATTTGCTAAGACAATCTACCCTATTGTTTACGGAGGTGTGTTGTTCATCATATTCCTCATCGTCATCGTCTTCCTTATCGTCGTTTACTCACTCATTGCGAGAAAGATTCACAAACACAGCAAGTTTCGCGACAATTTCCAATCAACCTCTTCTTGCAGTAGTACGCCGACGCAAGTATCAGCCATTTCAAATCCCAATAGCAACGAGAGTAACGAGAAGAACAAGAGTAGCAAAGAAGCGGGACTGGAACAAGTTGAACTTGACATGACGTCACCAACAGTAAAACAGGAAGATATAAAACCTTCAGCAAAAGTGAATTTCTCTTCAAGCGAGGCTACAGAACCGGTTGCAAAATCTACAACGAAGAATATTTCTTCAACAGGGACTTCGCAAAGAACTGCAAATAGATCAACAAAGGCAAATACCACGCTGCCAAATGCTAGTAGAAAACGAACGGCTAAGATAACAAGAATTACGTTTACGATCAGTTTAGTATTCATTCTGAGTTATCTTCCCCACTTGGTACTCTCCTTGATGACGGCAGTGAAGGGAGGATTCGTCGCAAAACCAGGGCCGATCGTATCAGCGTTACTGCCGATTGTCACTCGCTCAATCTTCATCAACAATGTGGCTAACCCCCTTATCTACGGCTTTTTGGATCCGAAGTTTAGACAGAGTTGCAAAAATGCCATCAAAATAGTGCTACGCTGAATAACTTATCATCGTTTTATTGAAAATTGTTCTTCTACATTAGAACGGTTACCAGATATTGGTTTTTATTATTCATCGTGCCAAATTAATCTTTTAAATGTTTCTGTCAAATAGCCTACGGATATGAGTTCGGGCCTGACTTGAATAATTACGATTGTCCTTAAGAGACAGAAAATCAACAACAACATGGCACATATGGCCAAACGCTTGACAGATGTATTAATTTAGCCGCCACCTTATTGCGCTCCTAGCTTTCGAAGAAGACAGACTACAATGGCTTTTGTTAAAGAGCAGCTATACCCTGTAGGTAAAGAGGTTCCAGATGCTTACATTGATGGAAAAGTCAGGCTGCCGGCTGCTGGAATATAGTAATCAGATGCATAGTTTACAGTTAACAGGTAAAAACTATCTTGACTTATGTAATATTTAATGAGTCACGTTAAAACGTATGTTCTATAATAATATCGAAACTGTCAACTGTAGAATTACAACCGATTCTTTCGTTGATTAATACTGTATTTAGTTTGTGTTACAGCATTCGTGGTCAGGTCGTTTGGACGATTGATTTAAAGCATTATTTATGTCAATTAAATGCCAAGCTTTGCATTGTCAAGAATGGCTGATGGTGCACTTAATAAATAATGGATGACTTTTTTTTTACAATCAGAGACTTTTTGTTTTCAGTTGTTTTAAGATTTGAATATTTCGTCTCCGTTGAAACCACTATGCTAACGAAACCCATTAAAATTATCTCGTGCTCTTTGGCTGGTTTTACCATCCAGGCTGTTTTATGGTTATGAATAGTATGTAATATCAGAATTAAATGCAAACACAGTACAACAACTGCATGCTGAAGATAAACTTTAAAATTGGAGGTATGTCTCTATCTTCAAATTGTACAGGGTGTTGATACAGATACATACTTTTGCATGCCTCTTTTTCATTCATACTATCAACGTAATTCGTTCAATCAAAACTATATTTCACCGGTCTTCGCTGATCAGGAAGTTATTTCTCTATCAGACGTATGTTAGTCCGAAGACTTACACACAATTGAAGAATAACTCCCTCAACAGTTTCGTAAGCTTGCCACGGAATAGCCGAGTCAAGTAAGTAATAATTTGGCAGAGTTTGCGATCGTGCGTCAAAGGCAGACAATACTGGTTTCAGGAACTTGCAATGTGAAATATAGCCTCAACAGCTTACCGACAGTTTGAAGCAAACTTTAAAAACATATTTTCAAAAGGGTTGAAATTCAAAAGTAAAGTCTTATCATATGATTCAAATAATCTTATGACACCAATCACAAAAATATATTTCTTTTTAACATAAGTTTAACATATTTCTCGAAGTTATGAAAGATTGCGTTAAAACGACTCGTAAAGCCAATTAGCCTTTGAACGAACGGGCCCTGACTCAAGTCCAACAGTATGACACCACCCACTTGATTCGACGTCCTGCTCGACCCTTGATTATACGAACGATGAGAGGTCATGGAGATTTCAGTGAGATGAGTACTTTTAAGTGGATCTTGAGTAGACTCATTACTGTTACCTTTGTCCTCACATGATCTCAATAGTCATCATTTTAAAAATTAAGAGTTCTTCCGTAACAGCCAATCCGCAATATTGCTTATGACGTCACACGATAACTGTTAAAGTGTCCTTATGCTATAATAATAATAAACAACATTTATATAGCGCCCTATTAAATTTGTAAAATTACTCTGAAGCGCTTTACAACATATGGATACTAGTATTAGTTATAATTGTGAAACAAAAACAAAGGCTTCCAATCACTTTTATACATTTAAGCAAGCAGACAATCATCGCAATGTGCACATAAATGAACAAATAAAGGGTGGTATTTACATGACGTCTTTGCAAAGAGCCTAAAATGCAGACGTGAAGTGGTGAGTTTTGATGTCCTTCTTGAATTTGGCCAGAGTATTTGACTTTCTTATATCAGATGGTAAGCTCTTTCACAACGTGGCCGAAACCCTCCCCAAGCACCGGTTTCCATAGGTGACAGAACGACATTTTGGGACATACAACAATGATTCTGACTCCGACCGCAGTGATCGCGACGGCTGATACAGGGTAACAAGCTCCTGTAGGTACTGGGGAGTTGTTCCATTCAGTGCCTTGTACGTGTATACCAATATTTTGTACTCCGACCTGTAACGTACAAGTAACCAGTGCAATTAATATAGCACAGGTGTGATGTGCTCTCTATTTCGAGTACGAGTAACCAGTTGTGATGCAGTGTTCGGGACCCTCTGCAGACGACTAGTTAGTTTGTCAGATTGCACCAAAATCTTGCATGAATCAGCAGTTATAAACTGCCGAATACAGCCGATGTTCCTGATCTGGTAGTAACAGGATTTGACAATAGCGTTCACTTGTTTCTCCTTGTACAGTGAACTATTAAAGTATACACCTAGGTTTTTAACAGCTGGGATAGTCTCAATAGTTCTGGCACCGACCTTGAGTTGGGAGCCATTGTTTGCTGACACTTTGGGGAAAAGATTATTAGTTTCGTCTTTTCCTGATTAAGCTTTAGCATGTTGGTGTTCATCCAGGTACTGATATCTGTCAGACAAGCTTCCAGATTTTCTGAAATTGTATCCCAACTGTCCTGTGACCATGTACATTTGTGTGTCATTAGCAAAGTAATGATAGCGAAGGCTATGGCGGCGACAAATCTCTCAAATCGGTTTGGAGTGCAGACAATATTTTCGTGGTCCTCGCACCTACCCTTGAGGAACCCCTAAATCTAGTTCTTTGTCATGTCAGGTGGTAGATCCAATGAAAACACACTATCGTCGTTCACTCAGATAAGACTGTAGCCAGCATAGTGTGGTATCAGTCACTCCTTAAGAGTACTCCGGACGTTTATAAAGTATGCCATTGACGATGACGTCAAATGCAGCTGACAAGTCCAGCACGACAAGCACCGCTGTGCACTTGTTATCCAAGCAGAAGCTATGCCATTATGTACACGTAGGAGGGCCCCCAGTAGAGTGTCCCATGCGGTAGGCCGATTGCATGTTGTCATGGAGACTGTTTGCTTGGGGTGAACCTCTAAACGCCGGGAAACAACCTTCTCCAAGATCTTAGACAGAAAGGGCCGTTTTGATATTGGGCGGTAGTTCTTCAACTCCTCCTTGTCCATTCCAGGCTTCTTCAACAATGGTCTAACATGTACCTTCTTGAAACAAAATGGAACCTTTGCCTCGGCCAATGATTTGAGGTAATCAAAGGAAGCAGTGCTGTTAGTAAGATACCGGTATGCATTGCTTAAAAAGTTAACTTGTTATAGTGAATTCGCTGCTATAGAGAAAGTTCTAAGTATCATTTTGTATAAACCATTTGTCTCGTTCCACAGTCCTTTTGATTGAAGGAGCGACAAAAATCATGTAGGGTACCACATGCTGTGCAGTAACAGCCTACCCTTCCGGAGATGCAGGATCCGCCTTCGGGTGTTTTCTTGCGCAAGCGCATTATGTTTTGTTTGTCTGCAAAGCTATACCGTTGCCATATCAACACGGGCCAATGCTTAAATTCACTGTTTTTTGGAGTATTTCAATATCATAAAAATAATAATCTGCTCAGGAAAATTCAACAGCTTAAAAATGTATCGTGAGTGCTTGTGCAATGAATAAAACAAACATCGTCCATGAAGAGTTAATGGTATCTAAACTTACAATTATGATTACGTCAAAACGTGGGCCATGCAATTTACGGGCTTCATAAATGCCATCTGAACTAGGAAGGGTTAGTGACATGAGTGCCATAGAATTGTAAATAAATTCTTTTTATTTAGCAGCTTATTTTGGTTCCGAGATTGTCACTGTGTGTTAACGCTAGGGCGTTATGTGTGCGTCACCGGAAAGAGAAATGTTGATAGGATAGAATGAAAGTAGACAGGAACGATAGATCCCAAGTGTTAAATGGGGCAGGGGGTGGGGGATGGCAAGTCAATGTTGGTGTCTTCCATGTCCTCTTACTCTTAGTAGAAGATACTGAAGGAACCCCCAGAGTATGGTGGGGTCCCGCAATATTCGCCTTTTACGATACCAATACAGTGGAATAGTGCAGTACCGCAGGTCTATTCTTGGTTCCTTCAATATCTCCCAAAAAGAAGACAAGGAAGAAACCGTCCCCGATTCTGCGATACCTAGGAAGTATATGACATTTCGTATAAATGTTCCCTAAAATGCTTGAACACATTTGTGCAGTTCAAGTTCCATTTCACCACTTAAGCCATTTGGGAATTGTAAGCAGAAGGGTTGTGTCCCTTCCATTTCCAGAACCTGAAGGCAACAAAGTGACAAAACGAAAGACAAAAACCCGCCAAAGACAAAAGACAAAAAAGCGCCAAAGCTTAACAACAAAATAACGCCAAAAGGAGGGAGAACTGACTCCATTTTAATTCTACTCTTTAACATTATGTTTGACTTCGGTTTGGCATTTTATTTTATTTTTTGCTTTTTCACTTTGGCGGTTTCAGTCTTTTCCTTATTTAGCTTTCACACTTGAGCGTTATTTCGCTTTGGCTGGTTTTCGTCTTTTCATTATTTCGTTTTGTCGTTTGTCGTCTTTTCGGGGGCTACAAAGCTAAATGACGAAATGTCATATATAAGCCACCATATATACCAGCACTTAACCTCCAATAAGTGAAGAGCTGATGGGTCCATTGGATATCAACGCCTGTGAGCCATTGTGGTGTGATGCCTTCAACTTAACAGTTATAATAATAATAATATACAACATTTGATATAGCGCCCTATGTAGCTATAATAAGCCACTCTAAATCGCTTTACAGTACATAACAATACAATTTATACAATAAATACAATTTACTTATAGATTAATCAATACAGTTTTAAGGATTTTGCAGGAGCTGCCTTATCAGGCGCTAACTACTAGTCATATGCCACCTGGCCAATATCTCCATATGTGTGTATGCCTACGTGTGTGCTGGAGATGCATTGTGTTCTGTATTGAAGTGGGACCGTGCTTCCAACGGTATTATTTATAGTGCTACCTCTCTTGAATGCTACAGCACAGATACGGCAACATCCACCCAAGACCATTTTATACTCCACCTGGGTTGTTTGAGTTGTTTGGGCAGGAGAAAAACACTTTCTGAATATTCTTTGCGCACGGCGACTTCGGGGATCGAACCCCGGCCGCCTGCGTGGAAAGCTGGAGTGTTAACCACTCGACCAATCCACCCATGTACAGTACAGTACCCAATCCCTGTTCAGAGCAGGAGGTTTATTTCTTTAAGTGTATATTTTGTATCCGTCATTAATGTGATTTTCGTTGGATTCCCTTCATGATAGATTCTACTTTACTCATTATGCATGTGACATGTCATAAAGTTATTTGCTACCCTTATAACCTATATACTAGTATCGTACTTGTGATTTGTGCTATAGTTATATACTACCTTACACATCGTACTTGTGATTTGTGCTATAGTTATCACCCTTTATTGCATATTCACTATATTTTACTATACACATGCTATTTGTGTTAGAGTTAAGGGATATGTGCTTTAGCTATAATGGTTTATGACACCTACCATATTATACAATATTTACTGATAGACTTAAGGTGATATATGGGCCTGGCCTAAGTAGAGCAATATCTAGTGAAACCGATTATATTTTGTTTGAGTGCAAGATTAAAATGTATGTATACTATTTAATTTATGTTTACTTCATGATCTAAAATTTCAGGCCCTATTCCGAACCAAAGAGGACGCTTTTCCATCTCCAACCGCAGAATTGCATCAGAGGTAGTTGAAGGGCACGCCAACATCCAACAGCCCGAACACGACGGACCAAAGACGCAGAACATCGTCAGATCCATCAACAGGATATGCCAGACCATGCGGCCCAAGGACCCTCAAGATCTGGATTTTGAGGTATCCTACAGTAATATTGGACGAATGTATTGTAATTTAATCATCCCTGTTCATTAACCCCTTCTTAATTTGTTTTGGATATATCTGTTGCAGTTTGGCGTTGTTACTTTCGCTGACTTGTCAATTGGTTAAAGTTATGTTCTCCTATTTTAATGAAGACCTTTTACACAGATGGACAGAGACTTTCTTGATCCACTGCACCCAAATTCTTTCTGCGGGCCATCACCGTCGACGGTAAGCCCCATCTTACCTTGGCAACTGACAGACAACTCGACCTCCTCGCCAAGACCAAGACTTGTTATATGGATGCCACCTTCCGTGTTGTACATGAACCTTTTACTCAGAATCCATAGTTTTGTGCGTTTAGGAAACAGATACCTTTTGTAGTCTGTTTTATGTCTGGAAAGCGTATTCAGATGTTTATGAGGTGACTCGTCAAGTTCAAATTATTGTTTACTTAAAATTTACTGATTTCACTGACATATGCCTATTATTACCATCAACTGACAATTCAGTTTGGAAAAAAAAAAGAGAAAATGATTCAGTGTAATAACAAATAAGTATTCAACTACATGTATGTAAACTATACAAGTGATAAGTGTGTAAGTGATAGATAGCAATACCAAACACATATTCACATATTTTTTTTTTGGAATACATGAAAGTAACAATAAAGTTTACTTTCTACACAAACGATTCCTTTGTCAAGTTATAACTGAGTGAGCGATTTGTATTTTTTTTTACCTGTACAACGATGTGGCGAAATTGTAAAATTTTCGTTTCACTAGACTCGGGACGTTTTGCCTATCGATTGGGAGCGTATACACACTGCATCAGATAGGTTACAGGTAAGGTGTAGATATAATATATTTCCAAACTAATGAATCTTATTGACGATACATGAAAGTATTCTGTAATGGTTAATTGATTATAATTCCAGGATTGTTATCCTTAAATAATGACACTATTTTTTTTACATTGTGAGGTCCTTAGAAGCATCGACCGTCAGCTTCCAGACAGTTTCAGCTAGTAAAGGAAGCTGGTGTTTGGCAAGTCATCCGCCAGAGGTATCCCGACTCTATGACAGGGGATGTGGTTTTCACTGGACACAGGTTTTCACGAGATTGTGAAAATATTGTAGACTTTATATAATTTTCAATTACACAATATACAAACTATAGATTTATTAACTTTAAGACTGCCTACATTGAGCGAGGGGATGGGTATGCATATCTACGCCAGGTTCTCTCATTACCCTCCTTGCCAGAAGCGCAGATCACCGATACCTTTCATCGTAAAGCAGACCGTGCGGTACCGGTATCCTTGGTTCAGCTGACAGAATATATTTGGCGGACCTGGGTCAGAAGCAGGTATGTTTCAAAACAATAACTTAAGGTATATTGTAAGTAGCATTTTTAGAAGTAAGGATTAGAAACTATAATGAAACAACATTGAAACTCCATATTTCAATTAAAAAAGGTAAAATACAACTTTTGAGAGTTGCTTATATAATCTATGTCATTTATCATTTCCTTTGTTTTCCAGGACATCCCCCATCAGGACTTGGTCAGTTTACATGAGATCAATAAGAACGAACAATTCTGTGGAGGGCTGGCACAGCAGGTTAAACAGCAGAGTTAACACCAGAGTAGCTGTCCCAATGTACTTGTTGAATCCCTCTTTAGTTCAAGCTGGTGAGTGAAGGGAAGTAGTCAAGCTACCAGCGCAAGAAGAGACGCCAGGCTCAATGCAATGTGTTTGCACGTTGGAAAATATATTCGGAAGGGGAACTAACAACATCACAGCTACCGAAGAAGGCTGGGAGGTACCTCCACCGAAAAGATAGTGTTTGGACGATAGTAGATAGAGTGTTGCTCGGGGTTCCTGTCTTTTGTTAAAAAACAGCAGTGCTGACAATGTGGACAAAACATAGATGACAGTAAAATAAGTATATATATTGTGTGTTTACGCCTCTATTTAATGTCTAGTGCTTTGTGGAAAATGTAGTGAAAACATAAGTGCAGACAAAAAAATTAAAGTTGACAGTAAAAGTGTATAATGTTTATAGTGCTTTGTGGAAAATGTGCTTAAAAATAATGCAGACAAAACATTTAAAGTTGACTGTAGATTAGAGCATATATTTCATTATTAGTGCCTCTATTCAATGTATATAATACTTAGTGGAAGACGTGGTGAAATAAAACACAAAATAGTGCATATTCCATACAACTGTTGTAAAGAGATGAGATTTTGTAGTAAACTGACATATAAGGAACATTAGATGATTATTATTATAATGTTTTGTACTGTTTTAACGGTAAAGTATAGAATGGTATTCTTATACTGACTATACATTTTTCATGTGTGATAACCTTGTTGTTCTCTGTAACTCTGTAATAAAATTTGTTTTCCCATGTAAATTGTTAATAAAAATAGGGTTAAAGGTCAGCTGGGTCCACGTCCCAAGTCCTCTGTACACCAACCACATAGTAATTATACTGTGTATATAATGCATTCCAATATTGACTTTCATTTTTTATACAAAAACAAATGTTTTTAATATTGTCACCATCTTTTATATATAACTTTTATACAAACGGTACACATTTTTATATGAAATTAAAATAAAATAAAACATGTGTTGTTGTCTTGTTCATTGCAGAGATGCAGTCACTGTCTACTTCATTGTTTTGTTCAGGAGGGACTCAATTTTTTTTAACAGATGATGTCCCCACCCCCAGCCCATATGAGGGAGAGAGAGGAGAGGGGGTGCAGATGGACAGAAATAAAAGTATATCTCTGAAAAAAATGGAGACACATCTCTTAAATTATTCTCCTTCTGTACAGAGGGAGTTGTTTTACAAAATTTAATTCTGAGCATCCTTGGGCCAAGGGGATCCAGTATTGTATGAACGACATGGTGATGAGCCCCAGTTAAGAAGAGATAACATTTTAAACATCCTTCGCTTTCCATATAAATGAAGGAATTTTAATTAAAATGGAGATGTGGGCCCCGAGGGCGGGATGAAGGGGCATGATAGGAGTAATTGGTTCATAGCCGAGATACCAACCTTATATCTATATATACACTTATACAACATCATTACACTAATATATTCGTGCCCCTATTCATTTCACCGTCATTTAACCGTTGCCTGGTTATCTTTGTGATATATTAAAACAAAAACGTGCAAAGAATATTCATCAAATTGATTTCCTTAACAATTTGAACAACGCCTTACTTAGTCTAGCTTAGCTTTTGCAAGGGGTGTTTGCAGGAGCTGCCTTATCAGGCGCTAACTACTAGTCATATGCCACCTGGCCAATATTTCCATATGTGTGTATGCCTACGTGTGTGCTGGAGATGCATTGTGTTCTGTATTGAAGTGGGACCGTGCTTCCAACGGTATTATTTATAGTGCTACCTCTCTTGAATGCTACAGCACAGATACGGCAACATCCACCCAAGACCATTTTATACTCCACCTGGGTTGTTTGAGTTGTTTGGGCAGGAGAAAAACACTTTCTGAATATTCTTTGCGTACGGCGACTTCGGGGATCGAACCCCGGCCGCCTGCGTGGAAAGCTGGAGTGTTAACCACTCGACCAATCCACCCATGTACAGTACAGTACCCAATCCCTGTTCAGAGCAGGAGGTTTATTTCTTTAAGTGTATATTTTGTATCCGTCATTAATGTGATTTTCGTTGGATTCCCTTCATGATAGATTCTACTTTACTCATTATGCATGTGACATGTCATAAAGTTATTTGCTACCCTTATAACCTATATACTAGTATCGTACTTGTGATTTGTGCTATAGTTATATACTACCTTACACATCGTACTTGTGATTTGTGCTATAGTTATCACCCTTTATTGCATATTCACTATATTTTACTATACACATGCTATTTGTGTTAGAGTTAAGGGATATGTGCTTTAGCTATAATGGTTTATGACACCTACCATATTATACAATATTTACTGATAGACTTAAGGTGATATATGGGCCTGGCCTAAGTAGAGCAATATCTAGTGAAACCGATTATATTTTGTTTGAGTGCAAGATTAAAATGTATGTATACTATTTAATTTATGTTTACTTCATGATCTAAAATTTCAGGCCCTATTCCGAACCAAAGAGGACGCTTTTCCATCTCCAACCGCAGAATTGCATCAGAGGTAGTTGAAGGGCACGCCAACATCCAACAGCCCGAACACGACGGACCAAAGACGCAGAACATCGTCAGATCCATCAACAGGATATGCCAGACCATGCGGCCCAAGGACCCTCAAGATCTGGATTTTGAGGTATCCTACAGTAATATTGGACGAATGTATTGTAATTTAATCATCCCTGTTCATTAACCCCTTCTTAATTTGTTTTGGATATATCTGTTGCAGTTTGGCGTTGTTACTTTCGCTGACTTGTCAATTGGTTAAAGTTATGTTCTCCTATTTTAATGAAGACCTTTTACACAGATGGACAGAGACTTTCTTGATCCACTGCACCCAAATTCTTTCTGCGGGCCATCACCGTCGACGGTAAGCCCCATCTTACCTTGGCAACTGACAGACAACTCGACCTCCTCGCCAAGACCAAGACTTGTTATATGGATGCCACCTTCCGTGTTGTACATGAACCTTTTACTCAGAATCCATAGTTTTGTGCGTTTAGGAAACAGATACCTTTTGTAGTCTGTTTTATGTCTGGAAAGCGTATTCAGATGTTTATGAGGTGACTCGTCAAGTTCAAATTATTGTTTACTTAAAATTTACTGATTTCACTGACATATGCCTATTATTACCATCAACTGACAATTCAGTTTGGAAAAAAAAAAGAGAAAATGATTCAGTGTAATAACAAATAAGTATTCAACTACATGTATGTAAACTATACAAGTGATAAGTGTGTAAGTGATAGATAGCAATACCAAACACATATTCACATATTTTTTTTTTGGAATACATGAAAGTAACAATAAAGTTTACTTTCTACACAAACGATTCCTTTGTCAAGTTATAACTGAGTGAGCGATTTGTATTTTTTTTTACCTGTACAACGATGTGGCGAAATTGTAAAATTTTCGTTTCACTAGACTCGGGACGTTTTGCCTATCGATTGGGAGCGTATACACACTGCATCAGATAGGTTACAGGTAAGGTGTAGATATAATATATTTCCAAACTAATGAATCTTATTGACGATACATGAAAGTATTCTGTAATGGTTAATTGATTATAATTCCAGGATTGTTATCCTTAAATAATGACACTATTTTTTTTACATTGTGAGGTCCTTAGAAGCATCGACCGTCAGCTTCCAGACAGTTTCAGCTAGTAAAGGAAGCTGGTGTTTGGCAAGTCATCCGCCAGAGGTATTCCGACACTATGACAGGGGATGTGGTTTTCACTGGACACAGGTTTTCACGAGATTGTGAAAATATTGTAGACTTTATATAATTTTCAACTACACAATATACAAACTATAGATTTATTAACTTTAAGACTGCCTACATTGAGCGAGGGGATGTGTATGCATATCTACGCCAGGTTCTCTCATTACCCTCCTTGCCAGAAGCGCAGATCACCGATACCTTTCATCGTAAAGCAGACCGCGCGGTAACGGTATCCTTGGTTCAGCCGACAGAATATATTGGGCGGACCTGGGTCAGAAGCAGGTATGTTTCAAAACAATAACTTAAGGTATATTGTAAGTAGCATTTTTAGAAGTAAGGATTAGAAACTATAATGAAACAACATTGAAACTCCATATTCTCAATTAAAAAAGGTAAAATACAGGTTTTGAGAGTTGCTTTTATAACCTATGTCATTTATCATTTCCTTTGTTTTCCAGGACATCCCCCATTAGGACTTGGTCAGTTTACATGAGATCAATAAGAACGAACAATGCTGTGGAGGGCTGGCACAGCAGGTTAAACAGCAGAGTTAACACCAGAGGAGCTGTCCCAATGTACTTGTTGAATCCCTCTTTAGTTCAAGCTGGTGAGTGAAGGGAAGTAGTCGAGCTACCAGCGCAAGAAGAGACGCCAGGCTCAATGCAATGTGTTTGCACGTTGGAAAATATATTCGGAAGGGGAACTAACAACATCACAGCTACTGAAGAAGGCTGGGAGGTACCTCCACCGAAAAGATAGTGTTTGGACGATAGTAGATAGAGTGTTGCTCGGGGTTCCTGTCTTTTGTTAAAAAACAGCAGTGCTGACAATGTGGACAAAACATGGAGGACAGAAAACTAAGTATATATATTGTGTGTTTACGCCTCTATTTAATGTCTAGTGCTTTGTGGAAAATGTAGTGAAAACATAAGCGCAGACAAAAAAAATTAAAGTTGACAGTAAAAGTGTATGTTTATAGTGCTTTGTGGAAAATGTGCTTAAAAATAATGCAGACAAAACATTTAAAGTTGACAGTAGATTAGAGTATATATTTCATTATTAGTGCCTCTGTTCAATATATATAAAACTTAGTGGAAGACGTGGTGAAATAAAACACAAAGTAGTGCATATTCCATACAACTGTTGTAAAGAGATGAGATTTTGTAGTAAACTGACATATAAGGAACATGATTATTATTATAATGTTTTATATTGTTTTAATGGTAAAGTATAGAATGGTATTCTTATACTGACTATAGAATGTTCATGTGTGATAATCCTTGTTGTTCTCTGTAACTCTGTATTTAATTATGTGCATATTGTGTAAATTGTTAATAAAAATAGGGTTAAAGGTAAGCTGGGTCCACGTCCCAAGTCCTCGGTACACCAACCACATAGTAATTATACTGTGAAGATAATGCATTCCAATATTGACTTTCATTTTTTATACAAAAACAAATGTTTTTAATATTGTCACCATCTTTTATATATAACTTTTATACAAACGGTACACATTTTTATATGAAATTAAAATCAAATAAAACATGTGTTGTTGTCTTGTTCATTGCAGAGATGCAGGCACAGCCTACTACATTGTTTTGTTCAGGAGGGACTTTTTTTTTAACAGATGATGTCCCCACCCCCAGCCCATATGAGGGAGAGAGAGGAGAGGGGGTGCAGATGGACAGAAATAAAAGTATATCTCTAAAAAAATGGAGACACATCTCTTAAAATTATTCTCCTTCTGTACAGAGGGAGTTGTTTTACAAAATTTAATTCTGAGCATCTTTGGGCCAATGGGATCCAGTATTGTATGAAAGACATGGTGATGAGCCCCAGTAAAGTAGAGATAACATTTTAAACATCCTTCGCTTTCCATATAAATGAAGGAATTTTAATTAAAATGGAGATGTGGGCCCCGAGGGCGGAATGAAGGGGCATTATAGGAGTAATTGGTTCATAGCCGAGATATCAACCTTATATCTATATATATACACTTATACAACATCATTACACTAATATATTCCCCCCCCCCCCCCCCCCCCCGCTTTTTTTTACATAGCAATGGAATTGGGCACAAGTTTTACAACTTTTATCAAGCCCTTTCCCTGTACAATAAAATTGTTTTAACAAAATTTCATGATGGCAGAACTACGTAAATAAGCTATGAATTATAAATTAATTAATCAGTGACATACATACACCCACACATTCACGCACCGAACCACACACATGCGCAAAAATATAAACATGCATATGTAGATAAAGGAACACAGAGAGATAGGGGGATGGTGAGAGGGGAGGAGAGAGAGAGGGAAGAAGGGGTTAGAGGGTCAGATTTTTTAAGAGTACTAGATAAGTACTGCAACAAGACTGTAAATTTAAGAAAATACATATCAGACCACGTTGTTGTTCCTTCTCCATGCGAAATGTATGTATCGGTTAACATTAAAAAACAACAGCACAAATGACTCACTGATTTGTTATTATTTCATATCAAAGTTGTAATTTATAAGTTGCTTTGGATATATAAAAACGGAATAATTAGAGAAATGAAGGAGGAAATGGCTGGCTTTTTGAGACCAGGAACTAAATTCAAGATCGCCTAAGATTGTTATAAACATTTTTTTTTTACTATTACCTTATGTCCCAAACAGTTTGTTAAAAATTGCATTTGTCATTTATCATTGTCATTTGTCAACAGGAATTTGTTATAACCATGTTTTACTGTAAATAACTAATGCCTTATCTTCCGAAATTTTGAGGCGTTTGTTGAGGTCAACTGTAGCGTAAGTTCTCAATATCAACTACAAACGCCGTACAAGTTATATGAGAATATGTATTTATTCAGTGTCGTTGACAAATAAACCAGGACATCCAGATTAAGGAGTGACTGGATCGTGCTCTCGATGGTTCCGTGTGTTACCGTCGAGAGGTAAAGTCAGAGTGAAGTAGGGATACGGCGGTGACTGAGATATGGACGGGTGGGCTGCACGTGCGCATACATACATTCCTTAACACTGGCATTACGCGCGATGATTTGAATGAAGTATTTGAACACCTGGCTACATAGACATGTTTTAAAGTACAGAACTGATATATAAATAGCTAGGGATGTGTTAT